ATCTCTACATATATGACAAAATATTTATAACTAAAGATATTCACTTTTGTGAAATAGATATCAATGACTAAGCAGTAAATCAAGATTGCAAAGATATTTGTCTTCTCAACTGCTGACTAATAATTCTATACCATTGCATCATATTTCTGATTTTCCTGCGTTATATATAGATATATTATTTTTTATTCGTTTGTGTTACTATAGTGATTCATAGACATTTATGTCACGCAGTTATTGCACAAGAATCAGAAATATAACAAACTAGAGGCCCCTGTGAAGGGTTGAACTCAAGGGGAAAAGCGGGACTCCTGGAGTGCGTACTCCCACTGTACTATCCTGTTCTTCCACTGTACCCTCCTGTACCTCCTCTGTGCTCCCCTGTACTCCCCTGTACCTCCACTGTACTTCCACTGTACTCTCCTGTACCTTCACTGTGCTCCCCTGTACTCTCCTGTACCTTCACTGTGCTTCCCTGTACCTCCACTGTACTCCCCTGTACTATCCTGTACCTTCACTGTGCTCCCCTGTACTTCCGCTGTACTCCCCTGTACCTCCACTGTACTCACCTGTACTATCCTGTACATCCACTGTACTCCCCTGTACCTCTCCTGTACTTCCACTGTACTCTCCTGTACTTCCACTGTACTCTCCTGTACCTCCACTGTATTCCCCTGTACCTCCACTGTACTCCCACTGTACTCTCCTGTACCTTCACTGTGCTTCCCTGTACCTCCACTGTACTCCCCTGTACTATCCTGTGCATCCACTGTACTCCCCTGTACATCCACTGTACTCCCCTGTACCTCCCCTGTACTTCCACTGTACATCCACTGTACTTCCACTGTACTCTCCTGTACCTCCACTGTACTTCCACTGTACTCTCCTGTACCTCCATTGTGCTCCCCTGTACTTCCGCTGTACTCTCCTGTACCTCCACTGCGCTCCCCTGTACTCCCACTGTACTGCTCTGTACTATCCTGTACCTTCACTGTTCTCCCCTGTACCTCCACTGTACTTCCACTGTATACCCACTGTACTCCCTGTACTTCCACTGTACTCCCATTGTGTTGTGGGAGTACGGGAGTCTTGCTTTTCCCCCTTGGTTGAACTTTAACATTATCGGAAAAATTTAATATTATAGGAGAAATTGATTTAATTTACATAAGAAGGTCCTGAATGAAAAATATAATACAGATGACTGACATATACATGCATAATGAATGGGCATATACGACGTATATCTATATCTATATATAATGAATGAACATATACGACGTACATATATATGTATATTTTCTTTTCGTTCTGTGACCAATCATATGAAAGTTCCTGAAGAAGAAAACTTGTACAATATAATATAGATGTGTTCTCTAGCAATACTGAATAGATTCATTTGACAAAAATGACAAATGGTGAAAAACAAGCTGATGAAATATTAGCATTACAATCAATTTTTGATCAAAAATTTCGTTTAATGAATGA